AGTGGGAAATTAGAAATACATTTTTATTTTTGCATAAAGAAATACTGGAAAGGTACATTGGAAACTAAAAGTGGTCAACTCTAGGAGTACAGGGCAAGGGAAACAAGAAGGGGACTGATACGGGAGGAGGCTTTAATTGTATAATCTTTAAAAGTGTTTTAAATAATATGAAATTATTACTATTTAAAATTTGTATCTCTCTCTCTCTCTCTCTCTCTGATACAGAATCACAGGAGACTGACCAAAGGCAAAATCAGGACGTATTTTTAGGGACATCCTTCTATCTTACCCTGATGGAATCTGTCCTGAGCATGCATCAGTACCCTAAAAATTGCATTTAAACCCACTCTTAAAATCTTGATCCAATTGCCAGCCCCCCTCTGCCTGTCACCCTCCTTTCGTCTCAGACCATCCTTCCTTCCTGACCTTCCTGCCCCCAGACTACGGAAGAGAGAGTACTGATTATTCTTGGAGGCCTTGAAAATCACAAGGGACGGAATCTGGGTAGATAGTGCTTAACCAGATGTTAAAACCCTGAGGCTTGAGAAGCACTATATTATACCAAAATGTGTAATAAAAGGTTGGAACAGACCAGGAAAAGTCCCACTGCCACCCTGGCCCACCAGCTCTACCGTCTACGTGGCATACTCTTATCGCACCCGGCTTCCTGGGCCTCAGCCTTGCCCTGTGCAAAGGAGCTTGGGCCTGATGGACCAAAGGACCTGGCAGAGCCAGAGAAAATCATGGAGGCCCCTTTCATATTTGAAATATTTCAGAAACTTCCATTAACATCAGGGCTACTTTTCTTGTTGTTTTGCTTTGTTTGATTGTTTTGCCTAGGCTGTCCCTTCAAGTAGGAAAGGAGAGATGGGTACAAAGTAAGGAAGGTGAGGTAGGCTCAGGCCTGAGACCAGAATGCAGAGTATGTTTAGTTACCCAGTAAAGCCATGCTGTTTTTCTTTCCTCTCACCAGAGTCCCTGGAAAACCACCTTAAATTGCTTTATGAGCATTTATAAACCATTTTGCGTAATTGCACGGCTAAAAAAGTCAACCGAAATGCATGATCCCATTTTAAAACAACATTAATCAAAATAATATTGGTGTTTGCCCCTCTCCTACACCAAATGCCTAGGCATTTGGGGCCAGAGCCCACGCGTTCTGCCTGGAATTCCTCCGCTTTCTACACTCCACAAATGCTACTGTTCCCAAACCTTCAAGAGAGTCATGACAACAGGGTCCACTGTGAAGTCGCCTCATCTGGGTTGCAGAACCTGCGCTCATCGTGTTAATGCACTTGTAATGTGCCCTCTGGGTCAGTAGGTGGTGCCAGGGAGCTGCCCGCGGTTTCGGGAGAGCTTGCCTGAAAACCGCACTGACCGCGGCATCCCCATGCCCGCATCCCCGGTTTTTGGAGAGGGAAGAGTTGTAGGACCTGTGAAGGGTACACACTGACTACAATAGCTAGGAGACCGAAGCGGGGAGAGGGGGTAAAACTAGCCCACATGCACCTGGCCAAGAAAGGTGTGAGGGGCGGGGCAGAATCTAACCAGTCCCGGGCGAGCCCCCGGCGGGGATCTACGTGGGGAAGTTTAGGAGGACCAGGGGCTGGAGGCGTGGCACACGTGGCGCGAGCACACGGGCAGGAGCCACTCTGCGGAGGGGGGCAGCTCGCAACGCCCCCAAGTTTTCTCTGTGGAGCAAGATGCAGCCAGCGGTTGGGAGGGGCGGCTTCCTCAGCGCGGCCACGCCCTCCCCCGGGGCGCGCTCCCGCCATTCCAATCTCCCCTCTCTAGGCCCTTGGCTCCAGCCTCCGGGGGCTCCTCCCCAGGCCTATCCAGCTACGAACAGCACGTAGCTGTCCAGGAGAGAAGCAGAGACCTCGATTCAAAGCACACTCGGGGGGGCTTCCCTGGTGGCGCAGTGGTTGGGAGTTCGCCTGCCGATGCTAGGGGACACGGGTTCGTGCCCCGGTCCGGGAAGATCCCACGTGCCGCGGAGCGGCTGGGCCTGTGAGCCATGGCCGCTGAGCCTGCGCTTCCGGAGCCTGTGCTCCGCAACGGGATAGGCCATAACAGTGAGAGGCCCGCGTACCGCGGGCGGCTGCCAGCACTCTTATCACTCAGGAACAGGAGATCAGGTAACTCAAAACCTCTCCATCTACAGAGGGCGCACGTTGGCAAATCACTGGCAGGAAAAGGGCCAGAACCCAGGGACTCTGAGTTGAACGGTCACCTTATTTCTGCACCCGTGCTGCTGTCTGAAGGAAGGGATATTGGGAATTCCCTGGCGGTACAGTGGTTAGGGCTCCGCACTCCCAATGCAGGGGGCATGGGTTCGATCCCTGACTGGGGAATTAACATCCCACAAGCCAAAAAAGAGAAAGAAACAGAAAGGAAGGGAACTGATTCTCATTCGTTCCTTTTTCTCACCTACTAACCCTCTAATCAAAAAGAGCTTTTTGCAGTCCTGTTTAGACGTTGAAACACCACTTGCTGGTGTCTTTCGTATCAACGACCATTGATATTCCTGGCCACTGAAAAGTGTATAAAACTGTGTTGCAAATAACCTGTTTGGCCATAAAGAATCACGTGGAAGACAAGCCAAGCCACAGAAATCAGACCGACTCCGGCTCTCGTCCTGCTCTTTGGGCTCTTCCCGCTTCCTTCCACGCCACTGGTCCATCCCCGTGACACCGAGAGCAGGAAGGCCTCAGCAAGACTTGTGAACACTTTTCTCAACTTGTCCGTATAAGGAAGCTTTAAATGTGAACACTTAGAGGTAAGACATGGGGTCCCTGTCACTATCAGGTATTTAATTTGCTCTGCGGCTGAATCAGGAAGCAACACCAATGCAGCTGACCCAGGAGGCTGACCGGTGCAGGAGGCTGCCCTCTGGCACCCCTGCTCAGCCTCAGCTCCGTCACCTGCCCAGGACACTCTCAGCGTCGCACACACGGTGAGTCTACAGTCTCCAGGACGCAGATCCCTGAGTCTGCAGACCCTGCTCTACCTGGATGAAAACTTCGGTGATACCCACTTGGCTTCAAAGAACTGACTGGTTCGCTGTTGCCAAGCGATGGAATTATTGTGACAGAAAATGAAGGTAGGAGGCATGCGAGGGACAGGAGTCTGAAAGAAGAATGGCAACACTCACGTTTTTATATAAATCCTTTTTTATTTCTGTAGCATACAAAAGGTATAAATATGATTCATGTAAAACCGATCACCTGCACGCTCAAGCAGGAAAGACATGAAGCTGGGGTATGTGTCTGCACCAGAGCGGGCAGGAGGAAGCAGGGTCAGATCCAGTCCCCCCCGGCCCCCCTTCCCCAGACACTTCATATTCTCCAACAGGAGACGAGTGAACAGCCTTCCATTTTCAGTGTCAGGCCGGTGGTCCCGCGCGCCTGGCGGGCACCTGATGAGTGAGGCACTTGAGGGGAAGCAGCCGTGTCAGGGCAGAGTGGGTGGGACTTGCCCGTGGGGTGAGCCGCGGGTCTGCTCATCCCCCGGGTCTCTTTCCTTCCCGCTGCTATTTGATGTGAAACAGGGATAGGAAGCAGGGACAGAAAGGAAGTCCACAGAAGGGACGGGACAAAGCGCAAGCCGCCGATGCCTGGCCCCAGGCTGGCAGACAGCGTGGCGCACGAGGCCTGGGAGGTGACCGACACCAACGCAGAGCTCACGGTGTTCCTGGATCCTCAGGATTCGGATGCACGCGGAGGCCGGGAACTAGCAGCAGAGCCGTGTGATTTGTGGGGAGAGGCTAACAATCTGAACAACTTAGCAAAACTCTTACAGTCTGTGAGGAAAAGTGACAGGACGTGATCCGCCAAGGATGAACCAGGCCTCAGGGGCTGATGACACTTAAGCCAAGAAGAGAGGCCCAAGCTCTGCCAGCCAGGCCCGGTCCTCGGCCCTCTGGGCAGCGACAATAGCAAGTTCCACGCACACTGTTCTCTCCCCTCCCACGCGGGCTACAGGTGAGTCTGCACTAACGGCTCCACAGTAACCCAGCAGGGACGCACTCCTGGGCTGAAGATGGTGAAGGCCTCTGTCAAATCGCTCTCAGTCGTAAGCAGACTAGGCCACCTCTAGAGGTTATGCCTGCAGCCTACCCTGCGATTAAGACAAGTACGTAAATTGCTCGCATCACTGATCACAAACTGGGCCAGAGCCACTCTGAGACTTCAGCCAGCCAGCCGGCCCTAAGGGAAGGGGGACCGTGACATGGTGCCTCCCGAGCTGAGGGACAGTGGCTGGCTCTGGGGAACGAGCACCACACTCCCCCGCAGAGACGGCAGGCAGAGAGGAGCGCTTCTCCCAGGCCCCCCACCGCCCATGGGTGAGGAATGGTCACCAACAGTAAGTGACACTCTGGAAACCACCATGGCCAAAGCAAAGACAAGGCTACGTCACAGCAGATGAGGCTGGGTGCCACTTCAGATCCAACCTGCAGGCCTGCACTTCCTGGAGGCACCATCCCCACTCAGGTGCTCTCACGACACGGCCGTTCTGGAAGATGGCCAAGCCCACAGGGGGCAGAGATACCCTACAGCCGGGACCGGCCCGCCGCCCACTTACAGAAAAACTCTGCACACCTGGAGACTAAAGGTAATTCAGGGAATGTCCCTCTCTGAAAAGTTCTGCAAAAAAAGAGACCCAAGTACTGAAGTATGAGACGCTGCTTCTGGCTGCGAGTTTCCAAGCATGGGAGTCTGACCGCTGGGCAGTGCCTTCACAGTCAGTGAAGCTCTGGACAGTCTCTCACCCGAGTCAAGCTGTGACCCCTGACCAGGGCTCTGAGACCCCGAGAAGGGGTGTGTGTGTACATATATGTGTGCACACACGTATGTGCATCCGTGCACATGTACATACATACTTTCAGGGACCATTCCAAAAGGGGGGCCTCTCACTCTCCGTGTCCTGGGCAAGCGCAAGAGTGGCGGCTACATGCTCCAGAAGCTCTGCAGAGAGAAGGCACAGCGCCTGCTCGGCCGTCATTCACAGGCCAGCTTGCTGTCGAAGCTGGAGAGCCCGATGGCAAAGGCCTGGAGCGCGCACAGCGGGTAGCTGTAGTCCAGGGTGAACACGTCGTCGGCCACACGTCCAAACTGCATGACAATGTAGTCAGCTAGAGGCAGAGAGATATCGGGACATCAGGAGGTAAGGAAGACATCCTCCAAATAGGTCTCTTTAAAATGGGAAACCCTTAGAAAGATGGAAAGAGGCCTGACCAAGAGTGCCTGCCAAGCACGACCAAGGCTCTACTGTGACTCCACTCGGCTCCCTGCCCGGACCAGCAGGGAAGGGCAAGGGGTGGAGCAGCGCAAACTCCGGAGGGGGGCGGGTCTGGAAGGGCAAGAGGGGAGCAGCGCAAGCTTGGGGGGGGCTGGAAGGGGCAGGGGGGGGAGGG